TACTACTACTCTCTCTCTCTCTCTCTCTCTCTCTCTCTCTCTCTCTCTCTCTCTCTCTCTCTCTCCAGTGTGAGGGTGTCTAACGAGTTAGGAGCTCGGCATCCACAGACCGCGAAGTTTTCTGTTGTGGTAGTGGTGATAACATCTTTCATGATGGGAGTATTTTTGGCTCTTCTTCTCTTTGCAACAAGGAATATATGGCCAAAAGCATTCACAAACAGTGATCAGGTTGAGAAGCTTATCCATGGGCTGACCCCTCTCCTTTGTGTATCCATTGTTGTAAACAATGTGCAACCTGTGCTCTCAGGTAAATGTCTCTCTCTCTTGCCTCTTCATAGCTTCTTCTTAGTTTAGTTTCTCTTCATTGTTCCCACTTTTGTTGAAGTTTAAGCTTAATTTGTAGAGAGTTGCTTTAGAAACTAATAGATTTGAAGTAGAAGGGGTATGGAAAAGTGTTCACTGAAGAAGAATTTGACCCATTAAATATCTGTTGGAGGAAGAACTGAAAATAAGCCAAAATATATATGAACCAATTGTTCATTTAATTCCTTGGATAAAACCTAATCTAGGAATATTTTTAGTGCCCCATAGATGTAATCTTTTCCAACTAGCGACTAACCTCCAAAATTAAAAATTTTAAATCGCACTCTGTATATGCCTTAAAAAAAGATTTCTTTGAACGGTAGACGTGCTATTGAAAAAAATCAGCTGTACCAAAGTGCTCTGTACATTTTTTCACCCAAAAAAATGTGCTCTATACATTTTATCGCCTGAAATATAAGATTGAACAGAGACTGTGAGATCCAAGTAGTAGAGAACTCAAATTCCAAGTCTTTTTATGTTTTTGGAAAATAGTCATCTATGTATTCTTAAGCGAATCCCAAAAATTTCATATTGAAAACTCCTTACAAGTAATATTTTTACTCGAGGGAGTAAGTGTAAAATTTGCTCCCGCAAGAGCTTATAGACACACTTCTAAAATAAAATTTGTTAGAAAAATATGATTTTAGCTTAAAATTTGGAAGTTATGACATGAACATTATGCCATTGTTAAATAGATAGTCAAAGAAGCATCATTGCTGTCCATTTAGAATTGAATGTGATAAAGAAGTTGGGGAACCTACCAGAACTTGATATCTCAAGGTATATATTCCATTCTCTTTTTCATCATCTTTCATCAATTGGTTGGAAGGCAATGGAACTTATGACCATTCTCTATGCTCAAATTCGAGTTTCCATTCTTTTTCATTTTTATTTCTAGTTGTATTTACCAGTTGTGATGGAAACCCTCTTGTATATTTTCGGGCCCATATAGCATGTTTTATAGAAGTATATTTTACACTTGGTCCTTTGGGCAAAAGACCTATTTAAGATAGTTTTTTAATAAAAAGAATTTGTGCTTCCACTTTAGAATTACCAGACGAGTATTCATAAAAGAAAAAAAGAACTTGGGTTATTAAATACTTAGGCATGATCATCTTAAAGTTTGACAGACTCTATTCAATCTTAGGACATTATTCTCTTCCCTGGGAGCATATTATCTTCTCACTGTTTCATACATAATTTACTTTTATTATTTTTCCTCGTTTTGCAGTAGTTAGGGCTTGTCCTGGGCTGGGCTGACTTGGCCCTAGCCCCGCCCGGCTTGTATTGCCCATAGAGGCCTTGGCCCAAACTAGGTCCTAGCCCTATCAGAGCTTACTAGGGCCAAGTCCAATACCATAAAAGAAAAAAGGAGAACGGTCAGACCGGGCTGAACCAAGCCAACCCTAACATGTTCCTAGCCCAGCCCAGCCTTTGGGCTATGTTAGCCGGCCCTCATGCCACATCTTATGGCCCAAGCTCTAGTTTTTTTAGGGCCGGGCTGCCCAACCCATTTCCTGGGGGTAAATTTGGAAACTAAATTTATATTGTAGTCTTTCTCGTTGTGAAGGAATAGCTACGAAGGCACTCATCACAGTTCCACTATGTATAAAACGCTATAGAGGAGCCTTAATTTTTTATAGGGAAAATGGTTTGATAGGGCTGCAGCTCTATTAAATTAGGTAAATTTTCGCCTCATAATTCACCGAAAATTATAATTCAAGTATTGGAAAACCGTTACTGATCATCTCAAATTGAACATACTAGTTGTAAAAATAAAAAATAAAAAATTTAAGCTCTAAAATTGTGTATATTAGACCGTCCATTTCAGCCTAAAAATATGTGTTAATAGATCTGCAAGATCTGTATTATTTTTGAGTTACAAATTTTATTATCGGTGTTGGAAATTGGTTTAGATCCATCATGAAGATTTCCGTTGCCTTAAATGCTTTCTAGACGAGGATTTGAGATGTGATTTTATTTTATTTATAAAGCCTAGGCGTTATAGAAACCGCATCCGTTTTTAATTAAAGTATCCTAAGGGTGTAGTCTCGGTCACCTGAAAACAATTTTCTATGGATTGTATTTCTACATTTGCGGTCTCGAGGTATAAAGCATCCATCTTAAAGATAAATGCAAATAGGCAGTCCATCTAAAAATATGAAACTAAGGGTCCAAATGTTTTATTACCAAAAAAAAAAAAAGTCCAAATGTTTTTTTAATAAAATTATTATTTTTAATTTTCAAAATTCATTTATTAGAGATTACATGGCTTTAAAAATTAGGTAAAAAAATCCAATCTCAAAATAGATTTTTAAAAGGTGTTTCATTTCTACATGTACTCGTAAAAACCGTATATTCTTATTTCCGTGTTTTAAATGATCAGGGGTAGCAATTGGAGCGGGATGGCAAGCCTTGGTCGCCTATGTAAACATTGGATGCTATTACATTTTTGGCATTCCTCTAGGTCTCATTTTGGGATACAAGCTCAACTTTGGTGTCCCAGTAAGAATTTATTCTTTTAATCAGTTTCGTAAGTTTGGATAGCAAAAAAAAAGCATGCTCATATATTTGGTTTTTTGGATTTTTTATTTTTTATTTATTAAATTTTTTTTTTGGGGTAGTCGGTAGGAAATATTGGGCCCTACCTATTTTGGAAAGAATCAATTATTTTTTGAAAGTCTCAATGGAGGCTGTGACCTTTAACAAGCCCCAGGTGGGTACTGCAACCACGACACCAGCCCCGTTCTTGTATATTAGTTTCTATTCTTTTTCTAATAATTCTTTTTCTTTTCCATTTTTATTACCTTAAATTCTAGGGAATTTGGATTGGGATGCTTGGTGGGATTGTCCTACAAACACTAATTCTTGGCTGGATGACTTACAAAACAAATTGGAATCAAGAGGTATTGATTTCCCTTTCTATCCTTATTTCATAATTTGGATGAAACCATTTTCACTTTTTTTCTCTTTTAACTTTGATTTTCGTTTTGAATTGTTGTTTAGTTTAAAACTTGATTGGTGGTTCTTATTCCTAATGTGTTTGTGCAGGCATCAAATGCTGGGGACCGGGTAAAGCAGTGGGGCGGAGGGGGAAAAGACTAGAAATGTACGAAAATAAGGGTCTGTTTGACTCCTTGAAAAATCCAAAAAGAGAGCAGTATCTAAGGGTTTGTAGGGGAGAGAGAGAGAGAAAGAGAGAGCAGGGTTTATAGGAGGCAGATGATTAGGGTGAAAAAGATTTATTTTCAGATAATAAATTTTATGTATATATAGTTTGAAGATCTTTTTTCCAAAAAAATGCGATAAAATGGGGAATTTTTATTTTTAAAGAATAAAGGATACAACCAAGTATGAAAATGATACAACCAAGCAATTACCAAGCATATATATGCTTGAAAGCCTGTGCGGTCATATATGAGGTTGATGGATATAATTCCAGGAGCTATGAAACATGGACACATGCATCCAAAGGTCTGTCCAAGTCTTGACCTTGGTGGACATGGACATGGACATGCATGTCGATACTTTTAGAAACCATGCTATACTTATGTGGAGTGTCTAATAGCATGTCTCTTTTTTGGACATGTTTCAGTTTTAGAATTTGGTTTTTTTTATATTTGGAAATATCATTTTTTAATGAATAATATTTTATTTTAAAAATAAAGAAGTTCTAAAGTAGTAAAAATATTTTTAATTAAAAATGAAAATATTTTTATTTTCTATTGAAAGTGCAAGTGGTGTGGTCACATGATTTTGGATTAATACATTAGCACTATATTTGATAGCCATGCAATAAAGGTACTACGTTTGGAGTTGATAGTTTTATTTTTATTTTTTATTTTTACTTTTTCTCATGTTGTTTTGATGCATTGAGCTATAACAAATTTTTTATGAATAAAATTCTGATATACAAAGTGACATTTTTTGGACTTTGATTTAACAATTTTTTCCTATGATGATTTACTGTTGTTATAATATATGAATTGTTGAATATGTAAACACAAATGTGAACTATACATAAATTACATTTACATTCGGATGGTTGTGAGCATGTCATTGAATAGGCTCAAAGTCAAAAAAAATAATAATTTCTACATACTCCAAGCCATCCAATTTGATATCTAATAGTTAGGAGTAATTGTGACCTCCTTATAAACAAGATAAATGATCTCATTGTCTATCATACCTTTGGATACCGCATTTCTTTTGAAACTTGTTGTTCAACCAGAGTTTAAGAAACACAATCTTAGGTGCAGACTTTGGCACACATCTATCTAACTCTGCTCGCTGATTCTTGAATCAACTCACCGATTCCAGCACGTAAAAATTGTGACACCATAGACCTCCACTTAAAAAAAAATAAAAAAAATGAAGGAGAAAAGAATCCAAAACTAAAATAGCTCAAGTCTCTACAGTGAACTACCTGGTTCTCAATAGTTTGTGGTGATTCCCTAACTCAGGACCATCTCAGACCAAAGGCCCCAATTCCGATTGGACTCGGGCCATTCCAAATCTGCTAGATTTCGTTTTGATAACCAATTTCAACTTGTCTCTTGATTAGAGTGGTACCACAACTATGTTTCCTTTTGATGAGTTCGTTGGCATTCAAACCTCGGCGATTATAGTAAGCTTTGTGTTGCATGCAACGACACAAATTCAAAGACTAGGTATCCTGTTTGCAAACACTAATGTGACTCGGGCCATTCCAAATCGGCTAGATTCCATTTTGATTGCGAGTTTCAACTGGTCTCTTGATTAGAGTGGTACCACAACTATGCTTCATTTTTATAAGTTCGTTGGCATTCAAAACTGGGTTGTTATGGTAAGCATTGTGTCGTCTGCAACGAGACAGGATGAAAGACTAGGATCCTGTATGGAAACAAAAGTTTTTGGCAACGTGGTTGTTTTTAGATGGACAAGCTTTCTATGTTTCCCCTACAGTATAGAGGTTCTATCCTCCCCTTTATCCAACCATCCATTCTGAATGGAAGGCTGAGATTGCCCCGATCACAATATCACATCTCTACACTATTTTATTTTTAATTTTTTTTATAAACTATTTTGACCCCAAATTTTGGACACCCATTCCTCTATTAAACTTGCACTAGTAAAAAATATAAAAAAAATATTTTCAATAAAATAAAATGATCAAAATACCCCTGAAATTTTCAAGGGGTATTTTGGTAATTATATTTTATCAAAAAATTATTTTTAATATTTTTTATAAGTGCGCCCCAATGAGAAATTGGCACGTACGATATTTCATATTTATACAATTTGTATAAAAAAATTAAAAACAAAATACTTTGAGACGTTAGATCTAAGATCAAATGATGAGTGGCTCTCTTCATCAAAATTGAACGGCTGGATGGTAGGGGGAGGATAGAACTTCTATGATGAAAGAAAAACATAGGAATCTTTCCATTTTCAGATATCCTTATTTGGTTTTTTTTTTAAAGTCAAACTTGAGATGATGTCAATTGCTAACTACTCATGCCCAGGCCCAATTCCTCTCTTCAAATATAAACCTCTTCTTAGGTATGCCAAGCTTGACTCCTCACCAACCACAAAGGGGCCTATTATTTCTAAAATGCTGCCAACCTAAAGCTCCCCTAATACTATTAAACATGTTTTTTTGTAACACTATTAAACGTGTTTTTTTTTTGTACTCTCAAGAGAAGTGAACGACTTTAGAATGGACTCTTCTTCCTCTCTCTCAATCTAAATAAATACTTTTTAGGGTATGTTTTTAACTTTTATTTTATTTTATAATAATTCATTAGAATAAAAATAATGTATATCTAAAAAATGGGGTCAAACCAATAGTACTAACATTAATTTTGAAAATTATTGCATTATATTTCCAGATAAAAAGAATGCATAACTTCATTGACACTCTCTCCTCTCTCTCTCTCATACGTGGCGTTTATCAATCAAAGAACTTAAGTTTAACAACTTGGAGCAAACATGGGCGACCAGGAAGTGTGCACCTATGCATGTGAAACCTTAAAAAAAAAGGACTGGCAATGGGCCGGATGGCCCCGCCCTAAACGTGACTTGAGGGCCATGCTAGGGTTAGTACAACCTAGTTGAGCCTTGCCACACCTCGCCCTCTTTTTCTTTATTGTTTATTTATTTATTTTTTATTATTTTTTATTATTTTATTTAGGACCACGGTTAGGCTTGGCCCGTTGCCACCCTTATTTCAAAACCAGTGATTTAAAAAATGGATTGGTGATCCAGATCGGGCACCTCAAAAATCAATTTGGATTGGTCTGGATCACCATTTTATTATACGGAAAAAGTAGCGAGATTAGAGAAAAATATATAAAAAAAGCAGTGAACACGCTGTCCCGATTGCCATTTTACTATACGGAAAAAGTAGTGAATCAGCGAAAAAACATATGAAAAAACAGTGAACCCGCCAAAAAACAGTCATGATTGTTGTTTTACTGTGCAAAACCTCCCATTTTCCTATATAAATGCAGAACCACTAAAAGGGTGACCAATTCCTCATGGACGGGGCGATTCGGGCCAAGCCGATATTTTTCTAAATCATTGTTCAAAGGGTGCAGTTTCTATAAGGTTGCAACCTTAAACAATCCAATTAAGGCGCATCTCAAATTTTTATTATAACATGTAATTTTGTTGTAAAAATTCGTAGGATTATCTTAAAATCTATTTTTATATCTAATTATAAAATTTTAAATTTCAAAAATAGTTAAAATCAAGTAGATCTATAAATATATGAAAATCTTGAAAATCGACAGTCTAAATAACGTGTTACAATATGCACTATTTTTGGGACTCAAAAGCTTTTTTTTTTTCATAATTATATATCTCGATATCGAGATGATCGATTAGAGGGTTTTTCAATATTAAAACAACATTTCCGATAGATTTTTGAGGTGCATATGTGATTCTACATTTTAAAGTTGCAACCTTCTATAACTTTTCTCTGGTTCAAAACACTATCTCTAAATGCTTTTCTCATTCACGTGCCATCCACCACGGAAATGTGGACTTCAAGAGTCTTGGAGACATAATGATCTTCAAAATCATTTTCTCTGAAATCCATTCATGGTTAACTTTAGAACTGTTAGGTCCAGGGAACCTGAGATGTCATCCTACAAAAACCATCCATCTTGCTTTTTTATTGCATTCATTTTGTTTTCTTTGGGGATTGCTGAATTAAATAACTGATATTTGCAAAGCGACAATGCATATCATTCCAGTTAGGATGAAGTTTCAAAAGAAGTAGAAACATGTTCAAAAAATTAATAGCAGCAAACCTATCTCTCACAGTGTACCCCTCTCATTGTTATGACAAACCATAAACCAATAAAATAAGCCTTTCTCTCTCTCTACTGAACATCAATAAAGTAGAAATCTCTCTCTCTCTCTCTCTCTCTCTCTTTCTCTCTCTGTTTGAGATCTTCTTATTCGAAGTTTATTATTGCATGATTCACGAGGCTGGGAGGTTCCTACCGTTTTGAGTGCCGTAGATCTAGGGCTATTTTGGGCAACAGCTGGGGCCAACTCGGCCTTTTAAAATGATTGAAAATGCTAAATATTATTTCAAATTCTTAATTAAATCATTTGGAAAGATGTTTTCAGTTTGTTTATATGGATTTTTATGATGATTTGGGAAGTCTTTTCTGACTATATTCTGATTTTTATTTTTTTTACCTTTTTAAAATTTTCTGAATATTTTAAGATATAAATCAAAATTTTCAATATTCCATCTTTGTGGACTTCTAATGAATTCTGTTACTTATTTTAACTTTTTCTTAATTTTTAACATTTTTACCAAATTTATATATCGTGCTTTTGATTTTTTAAACCTTTTAAACTACTTGGCGAAGCTACTCAGTTTGGGGTAGAACCGAGTCCGAGGCTTGAGCCGAGTTCAAAAACATCGGTTGTTTGATATGGGCATTGGTATTTTTTAACTAATAACCTTTTTAACTATATCGGTATTTTTTGGCATAATTCGTGAATAAGTTACTCTTTTCTATTATAATGTTGTTCTCAGAACTACGAATCATAAGGACTCTTAATTAAAGATTTAAAATTCGATAATTATTTTGACCCTATAAAAGACCGAGTCGAAACATACCCCAAATGGTAAATATGGCAAATTTCTGTTCAAAGCCTTTTGAAACTACAGCTTTGGGACAAGGAAAACATTTATATGAGATTGTGAAGTAAAGACAAATCTCAAAAATCCATCATAAAAAGTTATTTGGATGTTGAAAAACCCTCTAATTGTTCACTCGACATCGAAATATATCAATCTGAAAATAAAAAAGGATTCCGAGTCCGTGAAATAGTACATCTTGTAGCACATTATCTAGACCGTCCATTTGCAAGATTTTCATGTCTTTATAGATTTATTTGATTTGAACCATTTATGAAGTTTAAAATTTTATAATTAGAGATGAAAATAGATTATCAAGTCATCCTAAAATTTTTTGATATCAAGATTATATTTATGATAAAATTTAGATGTGCGCCTTAATTAAATCGTCAAAAGTTGCAACCATATGCAAACCACACCCTTGTGGGAATATTTTGTTTTTGCCATCTTTTAAACATTTTGGGATAGGGTTGATCACTTATCAGACATCAATTATTTTCTCCCCAAAACAAGTAAAAAATTTGCCTTAAAATATATTGGAAAATATTGCTTGAAATTGTACGGACATGGTAAGTAGCTAATGGTAATAGAAAAAAAAGTAAGAAAAGGAATACGATCAATGTGTAGTAAAAAAATAAAAATAAAAAAATTATATTACCTTGTAGGATCAATGTATAGAAATTATTCAAGCAACTTGGACGTGTTTTACACTGATTTGTGAGCTTGTCAAATGCCAATTTTTTTTCCAATTTATTTGAAATGTCTCTAACCTTAAATAATTTTTTTTTTTTAAATCCATATCTTTTATATATTTTTTATGTTTATTTGGATTCCTTATGCTAGTTTTAGTTTTGTTTTACTTTTTAAGTTTTTATTTTAACTTTCAGCATTTTTGAACTTTTTAATATTTTAAGGCTGTTTGGGCCATGTACATTAACAAACTGAGTCTACTTGGACTTGGCTGAGTTACTATGCTTTGACAGGCCACAAGGCCTGAGGGGATTCCAAAAAATTATTGTGATCCATATGATCATGCTAATAATACTTTTACAAATGTCATACTTTGGTGATGAATGAACACTGGGCATGCAATCCCAATTTGAAATGTTTGGTAGGGCAGCTCTTCGTCACCATCCATTCTACTGCTTTCAATGGTGATCATGTGACCTATTATTAAATTGATCATGGGGATCCTAATAAGAAAAATATATACAATAAGACTATTTATATTTTATGTAAGAAGATCATAATTATTTTTGACCATTAGATTTGAGATCGGAAGGCTAAGAGTGTACAATTGGCTAAACTCAACATTAATTATGGCTCGAACTTGTAGCCTCCATATTCTTAAGATAGATGGCCCACCGGTATAACATCTTGCCCCCACGAAATTGAAGTCACCGAGGAAATGAGATGGTCAACGAGGAAATTGAGAGAGTGACATCATCCTTTATCGAATAAAATTTGATGTAAAATAAGAATTAAAAAAAAAATTGATTTACGGTAGGGATCAATTTTTTTAACATGAAGGAAAAAGTTTATATAAGGTGCCAATATTATTATGTACAAGTAAAGTACACCTAAAAAACTCATCGAAAAATATTGCTTTATCACTGAAAAATATTTTAATTGATCATTTTGACCTCAATATCTATAGATATGAAAGAAAAAATGAATTTCAAATCTTAAAAATAGTGTATCTTGAAACACATTTCAAGGTTTTGGAGTGTTCATAAATTTGTTAGACCTTTCAATTTTATTATAGGGGTGAAAAATAAATTTCTACGCTGATGAAAGATTTGGAACAAAAATATTTCTTTTAATGAAATTTTGAGGTCATCATAGCGAGATTGATTCCTTATACAAACCTCACCCACAAACAAGTGTGTGTCTAAATATAACACGCTCATGGCCCCAAAATCATGGAGGCCAAAAAATGCTCCACAATTAACCCTCTTAAATGCCTTCTTCTGTCACCTATTTAACTTCTTCTCCCACTGATGCTTGAGAGAGATCCAAGGGTAGAGAAAGCGGGAGAGAAAGCATAGCAAGTGACATAGAGAGAAGAGAAACCCAGCTCATTCTTTATCTGGTTTTGATCCGAGGAGGAGAGAGAGATGGAGGATGAGCATGAGCCTCTTTTGAGTCGAGAAAGCGAAGGAAATGGGAATTGCTTGGTTGAATTTGAAGGGGACGTAGAACCCGTAAGGAGCTTGGGTGAGTTCAATAGAGAGTTTGTGGTTGAATCGAAGAAGCTATGGTATTTGGCAGGGCCTGCTATTTTCACATCGATATGTCAGTATTCGCTGGGTGCGATCACCCAAGCATTTGCAGGCCATGTGGGTACCCTCGAGCTAGCAGCTGTTTCCATGGAGAATTCTGTTATTGCTGGCTTCTCTTTGGGTCTACTGGTAAGAAAAACCTCTCTGTCTGTGTCTCTTGTAGTGGGAAGGATATCTGTTTCTCTATGTAGGAGAGTTGGATGATGCAAAACCCAATATTATCTCTCGCTTCCGAGTGGTAGAACCAAACTTAACACAATTTCTCGTTAACAATATCTCTCTTTGCCGAAATTGACATTTAACGTATAGCTTGTACAACTCTTTTCATTTTTCAACTCGATCCGATTCATTTTTTCCTAGAGTTCTTTAGTAACAATCTCTCTCTTTGCCGAAATTGACATTAAACGTATAGCTTGTACAAATCTTTTCGTTTTTCAACTCGATTTGATTCATTTGTTACTAAAGTTATTTAGTAACAATCTTTCTCTTTGCTGAAATTGACATTTAACGTATAGCTTTTGCAAATCTTTTCATTTTTCAGGAGTTATTTAATAACAATCTCTCTCTTTGCTGAAATTGACATTTAACGTATAGCTTGTACAAATCTTTTCATTTTTCAACTTGATCCGATTCATCCGTTCGTTCGTAGAATTATTTAATCGATCGAAGACAATTTTAGAACACCTCCTACTGAATCCGATCCATTCATTGATAAAGCTATTTAATCAATGGCTTTCTAGAACACCTCCGACTGAATGAATCATAGGGAGTATTATAGCGTGCATTGGATCTTGAAACTACTAATTTTTTACGTGTAAAAGTCAATCCTAATCATTAAAACAATTCTAGACCCATCATCCACATGGGTTTCGATCGGCTTGGAATCTCAAGAATTCTTCCGAATCCACACATGCTCTTTTTCTGTTTTTCATCTCTAATACCACGAGGAAAGAAGATGAGTTTAATTTAGAGGAGAAAGGAAGAGACCCCCTTATGACCCTTTAATGTAAAAAGAGTAAGCTTGCTTTGTTCTAATTAACCAAAAAAATAAACAAATAAGAAAGTCATACTACCTTATCAAACAGGCCTAGCAGTATTGTATATTGATTTTTTTTTTTCTTTTTGCACATATTTGTAATTTTTGTTGTCGTTGAGAAAGTCCTCCTTTCCCTTTTATGTGTTCTTCATTATTTAGAGAGATGCCTCTTTCTCTTTCTAACTCTATCACATGCATATACTGTTCTCTAGTATATTGAACATCGGACAACTCTTTTTATCTTGAAAAAAAATAGCCCTCTTCACGTCCGGTATTTGTATGTATTTGTATTACGGGGCAGGAAGGCAACTTAGGGGAAAAAAAAGAAGAAAAAAATGCGACGGGAGGGTGGGGTGCCGTCTGTAATTTGGGACAAATGTAATCTCATTTTGTAATTGACCCCCATTGTGTCCGTACATAAATTTCTCTGTTCCTAAATAGGTTATCTCAAGGGAGTGAAAGTAAGAGAAACTCAACTAACATAAATTTTTTTTTTTCTATATTTAAATGCACCGATTAGGAGGTACAATTAAGTTCAAGTGGAAGGCTCAAAAAAGATATTGAGAATGTTTAAAAAGACATAATTGGAAGTAGTGAAAAGTGATATGGAGACTTATGCCTGACTATGAATAAATCCCTTGATAGAGTACAACGACATAACAAGATTTGTACAGCCGATCGCAAATAGTTGGGATAAAGGTAGATGTTGATGATTTAAATGCAGGTAGTTAGTGGTAATGCTTGGGTTTTATGGACCAACTAACTGATGATACATTTTCCCCTCTTGTAATGACTATTTTTTTCCAATTATAATAAACAAAACTCTTACCATAAAGAAAATAAAAGAAAAAAAAGATAGTATTGATTTCATGGAACTTTCTTGTTCCTTACAAGTTGTTTGTTCACATTCACATTAATTCTTCCTAGTACCTCTAGGATAGCTATATCATACTTGCAAAGATACCATCGTAATTCCCTAACCCTATTGAACATTTGCAGCTGGGCATGGGAAGTGCACTAGAGACTCTATGTGGCCAAGCCTATGGTGCTGGGCAATTGGACATGCTAGGAATATACATGCAAAGATCATGGGTCATCCTCCTCACAACTGCCCTCATACTCTCCATATTCTATGTCTTTGCCACTCCATTCCTCATTCTCATTGGACAAGACCACAGTATAGCTCATGCAACAGGATTATTTTCCCTATACATGATACCCCAACTCTTTGCATATGCTGTGTATTTCCCTATTCAGAAATTCTTACAAGCACAGAGCAAGATGATGTCTATGGCTGTCATTGCCAGTATTGCTCTATTGCTCCACATTTTCTTCAGTTGGTTGGTGATGATCAAGTTGAATTGGGGCATGGTGGGAGCTGCAGTGGTGTTGAATGGCTCATGGTGGTTTATAGTGGTGGCTCAGTTGGTTTATATTTTTAGTGGGAGTTGTGGAAGGGCTTGGAGTGGGTTTTCATGGAAGGCATTTCAAAATCTGTGGGGTTTTTTTAGGCTCTCCCTAGCATCTGCAGTTATGTTGTGGTAAGGAGAGAGAGAATGGTAATTATTCGTTTCATTTCTCATTTAATGCACGAGAGAGAGAATGTTAATTATTCATTTCATTGTTCACTTAAAAGTTTTCTGTCTTAACTTTTTATATGACTTCTTATTTTTACAGTTTGGACATGTGGTATTTCATGGTGCTAATTCTTTTTGCTGGATATCTAAAGAACCCCGAAGTTTCGGTCGACGGATTGTCGATATGGTATACTTGCTATCTCTCCCCCCCTTCAAGATAAGTCCATTTTGTGTAGTGTTGTCAAATTTCCTTCGGATTTTAGGCCCAAAAGCGAAGTCTATGAGATTCGGGTTGCTTCGGTCAAATTTGATTCCGCTTAGGAGTGATTCGGTCAAAACTTTGGCCTCTT